TGAAGGCAGAAACCACTGTTTAAAACTCCACACTCACAGGGTCTGGACATAGTGGTTGTTACACTGTTTCCTGAATAGAACTGCCCAATATGTCTAACATAGCACTGGAGGTCCGAGAATACAAGGATTCCATCATACACTCAAAGACAATGTGGAGGTAGGTGGTTGAGTACTAGGACTTTTGCAACTACAGTAAATATTTGCTAAATGACTAGGACTACTTGGCCAAGAGTTTCCCTGCCTCCCAGTTTGCCTGTCTTTGTCCACTCATTGATCCTAATCCTGGTGCTGGGATCACACAGCACGTACGTGTTGCCTTGGCCTCAGGACAGCTCTTCTGAGAATGAAAACCTATGACCATGTGTCACTTCTTTTTCTACACCCAGGGATCCCTTAAAAATCGATGAGGTAATCCTTATCCTGGACTGGGTACAGCGCTCCTTAACGCAAAGACAACACGCGTTACCCGCCTCCTCCGTCCCGGGTCTGGGCCTTTGTTCACCTGAGGGCTTGGGCCCAGTCGCTCTGAATCCTCAAAGGCGCCGCCATCTTAGCCCCGCCTCCACCTGCCCGCCTCTTCCGCTCCTCGCCGGAAGTGGGTCCCAGAAGGGGCTGCGACGAGTTTGGAGGGCGGAATCTCTACTGAGAGGCCGCCAATGATTATGCGCGGCGGGTCCCTGTTCCCCACTTCCGCTCTCAAGCTCCCTTACAGGCTGGTTTCCGGTCGGAGTGTCGGGAGAGTTACAACTGCCTACCAGACGGACCGCGACGTGCAGGAACGCGCGTCCAAATTCTCGTGTTCCACCTGTTGCTCGGTGAGCACTCTGTACCGCGTCCTTGCGCAGTAAGGCTTAGCCGGCACAGCGGGGCTGCGGTTGGCTGCCGCGCGCGCGCTTGAGTCTTCTTAAAGTGGGAGACTTTAAAGTGGAAGCTGCAGGTGCCTTGGACACATGAATTTCTCTGCTTTCCTATGTCTTCCTAGTCCAGGCCAGTCTCAGCCATCCCGCTGCCGACCATTTGCTTGCCCTGATCTCCAACCATGGGTCTTCCTCTTTTTCCTTCAGGGAAGACTGAAGCCAGGATGTGATGGGGAAAGAGTACCGTCGCATTTACTGTGAGCCCTGTTGTCGCGCATGCATTTCTCGTCCATTATCATATTAATCCTTATATTAGTTGTATGAGTTCAGTATTATTAAGGAGGAAGCTAAGAAGATTGTATGGTAAAACGTGGTGTCAGGATTCGAACCTAGTTCTCTTGGCTTAGAATCCAGGGCACTTTTTCTGTACGGTAATAAAAACTTATTTATTGAAGTCTTTGGACATGCCAGGCTTACGTGCACTATGTCATTTAGTCTTCAACAGTCTTGTGAGGTAGATGTGAACTCTTTTTCAAGAGAGATTATGAAGTGATTTTCTTAAGGTCACCCAGTGAGTCAGTAACAAAGCTAGGTTTCCAATCTTAGTCTCTTTTCAAAACCTATTACCCACCTCCTTCCTTAAGTTATACTGCCTCCAAAGCAAATGAGTTTTGGGTAGGCTATGTTGGCTTAACATGGCCAACAAGACCTTGCTATGATCAGATATTTTCTCATAGTGCCGATTTCATTTGTTATTCCCTAGTCATACAGAACTTTGAGTTCCTCTCCTGTGTCAAATTCTGTCTCAACCCCTGACCCTGCTCTTCCATTGACTACCCGTATTGTTTCTCCCCATGCTTGGTTAACTCCTATTCATCCTTCAAGTCTCAGTTTAGAAATCACTTCTTCCAGGAAGCCTACTCAGCCTGTTCCTGCCATGTCTGGATTAGGTGATCCTTTAGTGTGTTCCCAATCTTAGCTATCTGTACACACTGTGTGGTAACCTGTTTATTGTCTAGATTGTAAACTCCATTAAGGCAGGAACTATATCCGTCTTGGTCACTCCTGTATCCTCAACTCTAGCATAGTGCCTGGTACATGATAGGTTCTCATTGATCATTTGTTGAATGAATCAGAGACACAGGAAAGGCACTGAAGGGTAAATTCCAATAAGGCAGGAAATACATCCGTCTTGGTCACTCCTGTATCCTCAATTCTTGCGTTGTACCTGGTACATGATAGGTACTCAATAATCATTTGTTGAATGAATCAGAGAAACAGGAAAGGCATTGAAGAGTGCTAGTTCCTTTAAAGCCTGTCATGGTGAAATTTGTTCAAAGGCTGAGGTTATTTCCCTTCAAAGCTTTCTCAAGTTCCTTCTGTAGGCTGCTTTCTGCTGGGTGCTCTGAGGCAGATGATCTTGGGAAGACAGTCTGGGCAAATCAACCTCACATTAAGTACTCTCATCTCACAGACTTATGCGCCCATGCACACTCTATGCTACAGCTAAACTGAACTCTCCATTCCTCCTGTATGTCAAACGCTACCCATATTTGGGTAATCTCCCAAGTGTTAAACTATGTTCTTTTCCAGCCATAGGAAAAGGCTAATAGGAGGAAAGGAGAGATTCATTCTTTTGGGGAGACATCTGCTGCAAAAAGGTGACATTTCACCTAATTCAAATTCCGTTAGCAAAATCCATTCAAGCTTATTTAGTGCTGTGCCAAACATTCTCATATACTTTATGTCATTCTATTGAGTTCAAACCGTTTTACAGATCTGCTCTCTTGCCAGGCCTAGTACTGATGGCACCAATGAATCAGGCCCAATATCTGTTCTCAAATAAGCTTACCTCTGCAAGGGGAGACAGATGCAGAGATAGGCTATAACAGTGCAGTTTGGTCAATGTTATTGATAGTAATGGAACCTCATAATCACATTCCTACTCTAACTTTGCCTCCATTATTCCAGAGATTCTCAAAGATGTCAACTCAAGGCCATACTTGGGCCCGACAGGTGAAGAAGGAGGATGAGGAAGAGGATCCGCTGGACCAGCTGATTTCCCGCTCTGGTTGTGCTGCTTCCCACTATGCAGTACAGGAGTGCATGGCCCAACACCAGGACTGGCGACAATGTCAGCCACAGGTACAGGCCTTCAGGGACTGCATGAGTGAACATCAGGCAAGGCGGCGGGAGGAGCTGCAGAGGAGGAAAGAGCAAGGCAGTGCTCACCACTGAGACCCCAAACCACCTATCCCCAGAGGATGTCCCTGAAGAAACCAGCCCAGAGAGATCATAGGAGGAAGAAGTCCTGAACAGTGGAAGTTTGGGCCGAGAGGTGTAGAACATGGGGATTGTCTGGCCAAGACTGACTTTGAGAGCCAGACAGCCATGGGTTTGGACATGACTGCTGTAAAGAGCTGTCATATTTTCATTGTGCAATCCCACACATCCTCACCTACCATGTTACACCAGTATTAAATGTCAACTGATATTTGCCAAGTAAAACAAAGAGTTGGGTTAAGGGATGCTCTCTTACCTTACATCTTGGGTCAGTGTGCCAGGTACTGAGCCGATTACATGGATGTTTAATTTTAAAAGTAAATTCACAATCTAAATGTAAACTGATTACCTAATCAGGTCTTCATTTATTGAGTAATTGGTTCAACACAGCAAGTTTTTCTGAGACCTTCCCATGTGCCAGGTACTGTGTGAATGAATAATATGATCTGATGTGATAAATAATAGGATCTCTTCTTTCATGTTTCTTAGTCTGGTTTGAGAGATAGAAATAAATAAAACAGCATTAGAACAACTAATTACTGGCCATTATATAAGTGCCTTTATCTTTCATTAGTTGTTCTGGACGTTTCATTCAGTCTAAGGAAGGAAGAAAACAAATGGGAAAATAAACATCGAGTGCCTCTTATGTGCATACAGATACAGTCTGACCTCAGCGTGCTTCCAGCCCAGGAAATACACAATGTTGGCCTGACATTTAAAAGGCACATTTAACATAAAATACAGATTTTCAGATTTTAAAAACTGGAGAAGCTATCAACATGGAGCTTATATTCCTACTGGACAGTAATTTGCTGGAGCTGAATATGGATGCTTCTTTTAGGTGGTTATGTTCTCCAATTGTTAACAGTTGCCATTGATTTTCATTTCCTTCCATGAAACTACATTACCCATTCTATTACTTTCTGCCTAGCCCTATGAGGCATTTGGGAGTGGGAAGGGAGTTAGAAGAGTGACTCTTGCCACAGAAGCTGGAATGCAAAGGGGCATATGCTCTCATCATCAGTTACATTTCTTGAGCATCTATTGGAAGCACAAATCTGAAGTATTGTAGGCCCTAAAACTACTTTGAGTCTTTGTTGGTGACTGGGGAGGAAAGAGAAGAGGGTAGAAGACAGGAGGAATACAAGTTTAAAGAACAATAAAATCCAATTACAATGGGATGACTGGCATATAGAGAGAGATGAATCTCTTTGGGGTGCATGTCTGCTCAATGCTGAGTCATCAGAGGGAGCAGTGTGGCCTGCAGCTGTCAGCAAGAATCTCAAGGGAGTTAGTTGAGGTGAACCTTTAATGATAAAGGAGACATTACCTATTTGTAACATATGTAACAATACCATCTGCACAAGTAAAAAGTACCTAGAAATCAGTGAGAAAAAGCAAACCCAATTGAAACATAAAAAAGTTAAAGTGGTTATTAGCTATTTCTATTGACAAAAATTAAAAGTATTTATAATGACCAGTACTGGTGAGAATGAAGAACAGGCACAATCACACTTAAAGGGATAATAAATTAGTAAAGCTTTTGGAGGACAATTTGATGGGATCTATAAATACTTTAAATATTTCAGGGGCGCCTGGGTGGCTCAGTCGGTTAAGCGTCCGACTTCGGCTCAGGTCATGATCTCGCGGTCCGTGAATTTGAGCCCCGCGTCGGGCTCTGTGCTGACAGCTCGGAGCCTGGAGCCTGTTTGGGATTCTGTGTCTCCCTCTCTCTCTCTGACCCTCCCCCATTCATGCTGTCTCTCCCTGTCTCAAAAATAAATAAACGTTAAAAAAAAATTTTAAATAAATAAATATTTCAACAGCGGGGTACCTGGCTGGCTCATTCAGAAGAGTATGTAACTCTTAATCTCAGGGTCACGAATTCAGGCCCCACTTTAGGTGTAGAGATTACTTAAAATAAAAACTTAGAAAAAATTAAAATATTGCAATAGAAATTCCTTTTTTAGGAGCCCTCTTAAATATATTTTTACAAGATGTATATACTGTTACATTCATTGCATTGTTTAAAGAGTGGATAAATGGTCACAATGTAAAACTCCAATAAGAACTGTATTTGCTTATATATTCAAGTCTTTTACAACAGGAATGTATCTATGTGTTAATTTGTGTAATTAAAATAGAAATGATAGACTGTGGGTAAGGTAGGTGGGATTCTAGCAAAGGGGAAGGTTAGAAGGACCTCCTTAGCAGGAGGAAACTAAACCAGCTAAGTGTAACTTTTTTAGGACTCCAGCTCTACCAGGGAGCTAACACTGGGTGGGTCACAGGATATATCTGGGTAAAGAGGGCTCTGTTGCCACCCAAATCTGTTTCCTCAAAGTAAATGGGGATAATTCCTGTTTAATACACATACTTAGAGAATTAAATGAGGGACAATATATAAATAGCAAATAATAAAAATTACTAGCATATTTTGAACTATTAAAACTCTTATAAATATTATATTTATGTATATTATATATGTGTGTCATATATAATATAAATGTTATGTTATATATTATAATAGTTATGAAGCATTTAACCCAGGCTGTTTGGTTCCATCGTTTTGTCTCAATCCCTATGATACAATGCTTTCAAATCCCACTATGCCACTTAAGGTGTGTGATTTGGGGCAAATTAGTTAACATCTCAGGATCTGTTTTTTTCTTCTGTAAAATACACACCATAGGCCTTAAAACTAATAAATGTAGACCTTCCTTATAAAGTTGTTGAATGAGTTAGAAACTGTGTGGTACACAGGAAGCATTCACTAAATATTGCCTATTATTGTGATTATTATTGTGTGCTAGGCACTCTACCGAGTTACATTTTGTCATTTAATCCCCATAATTATTCCATTAGCTCCCATTTACAGAGGAGGAAATAAACGTCAGTTTGGGGGTCAGACTTTCAAGTCTTATTCTAAAGTCTATGCTGTTCTCTGTTCTGTGTTCTCATAGTCATTCAGTGCTTAATATAATGTTTAACAAATAGTAACTACATAGACTCTATAAATACTACCTTTTCTTTCTTTTTCTTTTTTTAGTGTTTTAAAGATTCACCAGTACACATTGCCCACAGGGTTATAGATTGGCACGTTTTTTAAGTCTCTCAGCTCTGGAGCCCATAGCCATGGAGCTGTAATTTAAGGTGGTCCGTGCTTATCCCTATATAACCTATACTTACCTGTGTACAGAGGCTTGGTGCCAGGGATGAGTGGAGAGACCTCTTGGCTGGGTGGATGCCACCCTTGGCTAGGCCTAGGGCAGACTCAAGAGTTGGCCCTTCCCTGCAAGGTCTTTAGCTGGGGACTTGGCCTGTGCTCAGGACAAAGGTGCACTGTAATGGCATTTTACTAGATGAGTAATAAGAGATGCCTCCCACTCCCTTCCTCAGGTAAAGTTGCGAGGCTAAGTCCTTGGGCTGCTGACTAGAAATCTAAAGAGAACTGGAGCCAGTCCAGGTTGAAACCTTACACTGTCCGCTGTATAGAATGATAGAGTTCCCTACTCTGCTCCAGCAGGGACTTAAAGCTGGCAGAAGTGGGAGGGATTCTTTTCCAGCAGCTTTCTTCTGAAGAGTTTTCATTCTCTGGAGCTCAGGCATCTTTCAGAGCCTGGGCATTCTGTCTAAATGGTGAGCTAAATCTGAAATGACTGGGAATGAAAGTCATTCCAGGGAGATTTATAAGAACTAAATGAGTCATTTCAGATTCTCCAGGGAAACCAGACATTTGAAGACAAAAATGGCACAAAGATATCAAAGCACAGATTAAACCAGCACAAGACACATTGGCCAATTCTGTGTGCACTGCCTTTCCAGCAGGTCTAGTTCTAGACATACCTAGTGCTTGCGCAGAGAGCTTTCTTTCCTTAGGTACAATTTACACCCTAGAAATAGGGGTCTCTGAGCATTGCTACAGTGTTTGAATGCCCAAAATGTCCAGATTCCATTTACCTGCAACTAAAACACTCTCAGAATCCACAGCTGCCAATTTCCAGCTGCCAATTTCTGTGGTAGCAGAACAAGGCATCCTTAGCTAGAAGAAAGGGACTAAAACATGAAGCTAAGGAATTTGCTGGCCTTACCTAGGAAGACTGCCCATTCAATCCAGGCATTCAGTCCTTCTTGAAAGTTACTGATCTACATAAAGATTCATTTCTGAAAATCTCAGTGATATGCACTGACCAGGAATTGAGTAAACTGGAGCTATCTCTGGCTCTCACTGGCTAACACAGTGACCTTGGACAAGTCGGTTTCCCTGCTGGGTCAATTATCTCATCTTTCAAATGAAGATCAAAACGGATCATCCCGAAGGTTATGTATTGATGGAGCCAAAACTAGCACCCAGATGTTCTGAATCCCAATCCATTGATCTTTCATCTTGTCTCTTCTGCCTACCCCTCATGTTTTCATGGTGGTTCTGGGCACAGTTTAACGCTAACCAGGACATTGAAAACTAAAAGTATGCTGAAGGGATGAACTATTGATAGACACAACAACATGGATAAAACAGGGTAAATGAAATCAGACACAAAAGGGTATATACTGTGATATTTATATGTAATACTAGAAAAGCAAAACTAATCTGTGGCACTAGAAATGATATTAATGATTGCTTCTGAGGAAGAATGAACGAATGTCAAGGAACTTTCTGGGGTTATGGAAGTGTTCTTTATCTTGCTAGAAGTGTACTTCTAGGGGTGACTATTTTTTTAAACTGATCAAATATACACTTAAGATAGGTTGTTTTACTATATATTTTTTAAGCTATACTTTAAAAAACTCTAAAAAACTCTTTAAAAAGTATGCTGAAGAAGTTTAGAAGGGAAGGTAATCCAACATTTACTGAGCACTTGCTAGCCCATTGTATACATTATCTCTGTCTCTAACTGCTAAAGGGATTCTTTCCACTTTACAGATCAGAAAACTGAGGTTTATGAGGTGAAAATAATTCACCTGAGGCCTTAAGACTAATAAGTGCAGGAACTAGGACTAGCCCAAGTTTGTCTGACTCTTTCCTTTATAATAAGTTTTCTCAGGGAGGGTGGCCAAGGTATTTTCAACCTAGAGCCAGAAGACTTGCATTCCATTTGATTTCACTGCCATGTGATTCTAGGAAAGTCCATTTCCTTATGGGCCTCACTCTAGAGAGTCAAATGAAGCTTGTCATCGTAACTCTGAGGTTCTAGCAATCAGAATATCTCCCATCCTTCTTGCCAGGATAAGACATTAGGAGCAATTTCCACTTATTTCAGGGCAGACTAATGAGTAACAAAAGCTCTTTGACTCTGGCAAGAGGAAAAATCAACGAGGTCAGTGACATAAGACTCCAAGGTGACAGAACCCAGCTGCCTCCTATTTACGAGATAAGCCTGACTCATCCCTCCATGATGTAATGGAAAGGGATGGACTGGGAATCAAGAGATCTAAATCCTGCTCCCAGCTCTGCCAATAAGGTGCCCAGTGACCTTGGGTAAAGCACTGCCTTTCCTTGGCCCCTAACCCACACCTGCTAAAAGAGAGGGTTAGGCTGGCTGGGTCCTAATGTTCTTCAGCTCTAATATCTTCTCAGTTTATGAAATCCTGTGTCCTGCTTCCACAAATCAATAACAAGGAAAAGTGGGAAACTGAAAAGAAATGCTGTTTTCCAGGTTCCTAAATGGAGTCCATATGATAGATATGGGGACAGTGTGTGTGTGTTTGCAAACATGTGTTTATTCATCTTTTTATCTTCATGTCACTATACATCCCCCAAATTTACACTCATCGTTAGCAACTTCTCTTTTATCTTCTCTAAAGGAGACTCAGCAATGAATAATTCTACAACCAAAATACCAGTCTTCACCTAAAAAATTCTGCCCACACTCCCAGTGGGGTTCACTTGGAAGTAATAGCCTGCTGAACTTCCAATGGGAATTCAGTGAAGCATTTTAATTGAGGGTATCTGCTCTCTTGACCCCTTAGGGTTATACCTTGGAAGGAAATCTTGAGTTTCTTCTTACTGCCTTTAGAGACCAAGGCAAAGAAACCATAATAACATCAGGACTGAAACTGCTGAGTTTCAGAAAAGTACCTGCAATGCTAAGACTGCTCTGGGCTCCCACAGACCTCTGTGTAGGAGTATCCCACAAGAAGCGAGGAGAAAGATCTGCCACTTATTAGCTATGTGACCCTTCAGGAAAAGGAAGTCACTTCATCTCTCCAAACCTCAGTTTCTCCATGTATAAACTGGAATACTATCAACCTCAAGGATAATCTTTATAAAGTACATAGATATAATGAGGGCTCAGTAAATGTGAGATACACTCATGCATACTCAGACACACCACTCACACATAACCTTTTCACATACACAGATACCCATCCACATGCACACTCCTATACACACCCTAAAAGACTGGTGTAAGGATTAGCGCTCATTTAGTACCTTGAGCAGGGTCTAGCTCAATAAATGATAGCTATTATGTACAGAAGTATGAACGAACTAATGTTCAAAATAGGAAAAACATTAGAGGTCACTTAGACTAATGGTTCTCAAAGAGGTAATCCTGGGGGGGCCTGGGTGGCTCAGTCAGTTAAGCATCCAACTTCGGCCCAGGTCATGATCTCATGGTTCATGAGTTCAAGCCCTGCGTCAGGCTCTGTGCTTACAGCTCAGAGCCCAGAGCCTGCTTTAGATTCCGTGTCTTCCTCTCTCTGCCCCCCTCCTGCCCTCTCCTGCTCATCTCCTGCTCAGTCTCTCAAAAATAAACGTTAAAACAAAAAGTTAACCCTGGACCAGTAGCATCAGCATCACCTAGGAATGTGTAAGAAATTCAAATTATAGGCCCTCATTCAAGATCTACTAAGTCAGAAAATCTGGGGGTAAGAGCAGCAATTTATGTTTAAAAAAGCTCTCCAGGTGATCCTGATACACACTTAAGTTTGAGAATCAGTGACTTAGATCAGGGATTGACTGTTTTTATAAAGGACACATAATGAATGTTTTGGTTTTACAGTCTGTGTCGCAACTACTCAGCTGCCAGTGTGAAAGCAGCCATAGATGACATGTAAATGAGTGACCGTGGCTCTGTTCCAATAAATAGGCAATGGGGTTTTAGAACTAGATATAGGTGGTAGTTGTATAACATTGTGAATGCATTAAATACCACTGAATTGTTTGTTTTAAAATGGTTAATTTTGTGGTTTGTGAATTTCACCTCAATGAATTACTTAAAAAAAGAAAAAAAAAAAAAGCGCGGGGTGCCGGGGTGGCTCAGTTGGTTAATCATCCAACTCTTGATTTCAGCTCAAGCCATGATCTCACAGTTCATAAGACTGAGCCCCTTTGTCAGATGCACTCACAGCACAGAGCCTGCTTGGGATTCCCACTCTTCCTCTCTCTCTCTTCCTCTCTGCCCCTACCCCACTCATGCTCTCTAAATAAAGAAAGAAAGAAACAAACAAACAAACAAACATTAAAACAAATAAACAAGCAGGCAGTCAGTGGGGCTTGGCTCACAAGCAGTAGTTTTCTGACCCCTGACCAAAATCAACTTTAATTCTTTGTTTAAACCCACTCCAGGTAACCCTAATTAGCAGTTATGTAACATCTGCCTGAATATGACAAGTCACTCACTGCCCCACAAAGCAATTTTTTTCACTATGGACAGACCTTGTTTCTATCTGGAGAGCTTTTTTCATAAGCAAAACCAAAAGCCCCGTCCCTATTCCTTCTACCCAAGTTTACTTATGATCCTCTGTTTCACTAAAAGACTCAATGCCAGATTGCTTTAAAGAATGAGATCACTCTAACTGGAGAAATATTGAAAGGAAGTATGTTTTTGTGCTAAAGAGAAAATAGAATCCCTTAAAGATACTCCACAGGGCAGCTGGCTGGCTCAGTCAGTGGAGCATATGACTCTTGATCTTGGGGTTGTGAGTTCAAGCCCCACGCTGCTGGGTGGGTGTAGAGATTACTTAAAAATAAAATCTTAAAATAAAAAAATAAAAGATACTCCACAGGATGGATGGACTTCTCACATACGCACATGTCCACCAGCTGCAGATTTTTATTAGATGAAGGATGTCTTAGGTTGGCTCAAAGGAAAGTGGTAATCGGCAACACTCCTCCATATAAGAGAGGAGGCATTCCTGGCTAATGGGGATGGGTAGTTACAATATCTAAAGGATCTTCTTAATTTTGACCACCCAGGAAGCTCTTCCCCTTGGCACTCAATATCACCAGTCCTGGCTTGAAAGGGTTTGCAATGAGCTAGTTCAACTTAGCCAACAGTTCTTCCAGTTCTGGCCGAGCTTTGAACCTTCCTTTGAAGTCTTCTTCAGTGTGCTGGGGAGAAGAAAAAGAAAGTAAGTGAGAATTACTACAGAGCTTTCAGTTATTCATACATACACAGCATTAAAAAAAAAAAAAAGCAGGGCATCTGGGTGGCTCACTCGGTTAAGCATATGACTCTTGATTTTGGTTCAGGTCATGATCTCACAGTTTGTGGGATCAAGCCCTGAGTCAGGCTCTGTGCTGAGCATGGAGCCTGCTTGGGATCCTCTCCCACTCTTCCTGTCCCTCTCCCCTGCTCACACTCTCTCTCTCAAAAATAAATAAATACACGTTAAAAAAAGCCATCAGACAGCTCTGTAGAGAATGATTCAGATTCAACTAACTTTTCATGAGACTTATATTAGATACTAGGGATTCTAAGTTGAATCGGACTTCCTCCCTGCCTTAAATGAACTTAAGTCTGGTGAGAGAAGACAGACATATAAAGAATTAATGTCAGAATGCTGAGTATATCATTAGAAGCATTTAAAGAGAGGCAATGCCCAAATTCTCCATCTACAATAGGAAAGACATAAGGACTGGAATATTTAAGTCAGCATGACCAGCACATTTTCTCCTGTATACAGATCTGTGTGAAACCTGAATAACAAGAAGAGAATTAACAAGCATGGACTCAGAACAAGGAGAGCTGGATGCAGCAAATTGCATCAGTCTAAAATGACCTGATGTATCTGTGTCATAACAAGCCTTGTCTTGGCATATGGACCCAAATACTCAGTATTTAGGCTGAAGTTCCTAATGTTTTCTAAGTTTTGCATGCCAAATTTCCTTCTGATTGGCATTCTTCAGTCAGGCTACAGTCAAGCCTTAAAGGTCCAGGAAACTCTTCTTTAAAGTACATTTCCTTATTTGTGTTCTGATTAATTAGACTGTATGTAATCTTAAATCATGTTATTTCTGCACACAACTATGGGTTCACCCCTAACACCAGGATACTGTGATGGAGTTCTGCTCCTGTGGTCCATAAAGGATCATCCCTGATCCATTGGAAGAGGCAGGATAATGACCACAGTTATACCAGTCTGCAAACCTTTCCTGTTTATTATCTGGGCTAAATTACCCACATTTCTGTCTTGTTTCTAAAGCCAGATGCTCTTATCCATATTGAACACAGGTGGGCCACCAGGGGGCCTCTTCTCAAACTAGCACATACCTCCTTCACTGACAATCTGACTCCTTCAGGAAGATTGCTTTGGATTATTTCCAAGAAAATCTCTGCAAATGTAGCACTCAAACCGCTGATCTGCAAAGGAAAGAAGATGCTCTAAGAGAGAGCACTGAAAGCCAGGTGATTGGGCAGACATGGCAGGGGCTCAGATGTCAGCTTCAGCAGAGCTACAGGGCCCTTGGGTAGAGGATTAACACCCAGAGCCAGTTTCAGAGCCAACCTCTACAGGATTCCTCTTGCCATCAAAGTGTCTGCTTGCCAACATAGTAGTCATGGCTAGTGTCTGCTCCTGCAGACAATGGATGTCATAACTGGACCAAGAGGTTATCAAGTCCAGGATGACTTTCTGATTCAACTCAGGTGTACCCACATAGACTGGACTAGTGTCAGACCCTGTGCGGAGAATCCAGAGGCGAATCAGATGTGTAGTAGAAGGGCATGCAGGGGGCTGCAGGAACCCACAAGACAAATATCTCCTAACCTAAGGAGGTCAAAGACAGCTTCCAAAAAAAGGTAACTTCTAGGTGGAGTCTTGAAGAAAAACAGGAGTAAACTAGGAGAATTCAGCAGTAATAGGGAGGGTTTTCAAAGCAGAAGAAATCAGTAAAGTGTGTTGCATCACACAGTACTAGGGAATTAAAATGAGTTCCATGTATGGCTGGAATGAATGGGGTGAGAAGAGGAAAAGCAGGAAGAGAATCATAAAGGTATTTAGGCACTAAAGAGATCAAACTTTATCCTATAGGCCTCAGTGGCAAGATAGATCTTTCTTAAGATCTGTATCTCAAATAATTTATTTCTGATAATATTTAAAGAACTAAAGATTGTTAAGTACTTAATTTTTAAAGTTAGCATAATAGATTTAAGGTGTTACTACCTTAACATTCTGTTACGGAATGTTATATTACGGAACATATATTATGGAATATATACGTCTTGTTGATATACTTCTTGAGTGGGTCAGAAAGGGGTGATGTCCATACACGGGAATATTATTTGGTAATACAAAGGAATGAAGCATTGATACCTGCTACAACATGGATGAACCTTGAAAACATGCTAAGTGGAAGTAGCCAGACAGAAAAGGCCATATATTGTATAATTCCATTTAAATGAAATGTCCAGAAGAGGTAAGATCATAGAGGCAGGAACAGATTTGTGGTTGCCAGGAGCTGGGGGGGACAGGGAAGGAGGAGGGACTGCAAATGGGTAGAGTTTCCTTTCGGGGTAATGAAATTGTTTAAAATTGTGGTGATGGTTGCCTAACTGTGAATATATTAAAACCCATTTAATTGTACATGTTAAATGGGTAAATTGTATATGAATAAAATTCTCAATAAAGCTGTTAGGGGGCATCTGGGTGGCTCAGTTGGTTAAGTCTCCAACTCTTGATTTCGGCTCAGGTCATGATGTCACTATTTGAGATCAAGCCCCACATCAGGTCCTGCACTGACAGCAGGGAGCCTGCTTGGAATTCCCTCTCTCCCTGTCTCTCGCCCTCCCTCTCCTCCCCCTGCTCACAAGCTCCCTCTCTCTCGCTCTCAAAATAAATTAAAAAAAATAAACTTAATAAAATTTTTTAGTGTTTACTTTTGAGAGAGAGAGAGAGAATGTGACAGAGGAGGGGCAGAGGGAGAGGGAAACACAGAATTGGAAGCAGGGATCAAACCCCCAAACCGCAAGATCATAACCTGAGCCAAAGTCATAGATTCAACCAACTGAGCCACCCAGGCACCCCTAAAAAAATAAACTTTAAAAAGCAAAACGTCAGTTCCTCTACAATTGGTTTTATATATGCTGAGTGTAGGACACCTGTGGAATATCCCAGTGGAGAAGTCCAGTAAATAAGTGGATATCAGGTTTGAAGCTCAACGGAGAGATCAGGACTGGAGATGTTATCTAGGGGTTATTAGTATATAACCCATCAGGACTGGGAGATATGTATCAGGGGGTTGTTGGTATGTTATGATGGCCACTGAGACCCAGGGAATGAGTGAGATTGCATAGAGGGAAGGTATTACACAAGGAGAGATGGAAGGATCAAGAACTAAACCCTGGAGAACATCATCATTTCAGGGGGCAGGCAACAGGAAGAGAAGGGCATGGTAGAAGGAGAAAAAAATAGAAGAAGAACCAGGAGAGGCAAATACATTTCAAGTTTCTCCCAGAGTGCCTACCTGAACCACTCGCTCATGGGTGGTAAGAACTGAGTCCAAGAACATTTTGCTGCCTTGGTCTTGCAGCCGCAATACCTCCATGGTTTTGGTGGGCATCGCATAACTATGGGAAGGAAGAGTCAGCTATGAGGAGGGTTCCTTTAAGTCAGCAGCACCACTTGAATCAGGGTGGTCCCTGAGTACAGCCACTCCTGCAATGCAGTGACTCCTGGAATCTAGGGCAGTTTATCTGCAACCAGGGTAAAGTAAGCAGATCCTCTTAAACCTCCTCCAGAAACCTCTAAACTCCCTGAAGGAACAGACCATGTCTAATGCCTTTTGCATCCCTAGTTCTTGCCTGATAGAACATTGAATAAAATCTGGTGATTAATAACTATTCACTGCTACTAAAGAAAAGCCAATTCTAAAAGAATTAACCTCATCATTTTGGAGGCTAACCTTGGGTATTTCACCTCTTCTGGAGAAATGAGGCATGAAACCCAACTGTTTTAAAAGAGCATAATTTCTCAACCTCAGCACTACTGACATTTTAGACCAAATAATTCTTTGTTGCGGGGGGGGCTGGCCTATGTATCCCTAATCTCTACCCACAAGATGCCAACAGTACCCCCCTGAAATGGTGACAATAAAAATTATCTCCAGGGGTACCTGGGTGGCTCAGTTGGTTAAACGTCTGACTTTGGCTCAGGTCATGATCTCACGGTTCGTGAGTCCTGTGTTGAGCTCTGTGCTGACAGCTCAGAGCCTGGAGCCTGCTTCAGATTCTGTGTCTCCCTTTCTGTCTCTCCCTCAAAAATAAACATTAAAAAAAATTTTTTTAATAAAAAAAAATTATCTCCAGACATTATTAAATGTCCCCAGCTTGATAAATACTGTTGTAGAGACTATGCTTGCTATAATCAGCTTCAGCAGATCTACATGCTGCAGTGAAAAGAACACTGGATTTAGGGTCAAATCTTGGCCCTCTAGCTTATTAGCAATATTTACTGAGGCAAGTTACTTGTCTCTGTCGGCCTCAGTTTATTCCACAATAAAGGGGATTATAATCTAGGTCTAAATTAATAGACGTGTGAAGATCAGGTATGGTGATAAAATAGGATCGATGGCTACACAGAAATACGGTATTAGTGTTATCTTGTCAAAAAGGTCATCAAAATGAAGATAAATGGAATAATAACAATAGAATTCCTGAATTTTCATGCCAAACAAAGCTTCATCAATTGATAGCAAGGGGCATGGCTCTCTACGAAATGAATAATGGAAATAATGGAAGTGGATTAGAGACATGATAGTCCTGGATTTAAATGTTGGCTCTGCCCCTTATTACCTATTTGACCTTGGACAATTAATTCAGTTTTCTGAGTCTCAGATTCTTCAGCTACGAAATGAGAATAATGATACCTAGTTCATAGAGTTGTTGCAATGATTAAATAAGATTATAGAAGTAATTTGCCCGGCATAATATGACTACAAATGCCAACTCCCTTGCCCTTATAAAGAGTAAATGCTAGGTACTGCAAACTTCCAAGTAACCTCCCTAAATAACATTCCTTACCACTTTCTAGCACAATCTCTGACTTCCTCTTCCAAAAGCTTTCAGGAAAGTAAAAAGTATTCTAAAACGCTAGTTTTCTTTCTTGACATTCTGCAAATAAGACTGACTAACTAAAGTGGGAGCTGTCCATTCCTGCCACTGAGCATGCATTCTATTCAACACTTACTTCACAAGATTTTGTTCATTTGTTCATTCACTCATTCATTCATTCATTCAGTCATTCAACAAACATTTACTCAAAGCCTGTTTTGTCCTAGGCACACTACTGGGCAATATGTAGCCTATCCTTTAAAGGAGCTCACTACGGGGTGCCTGAGTGGCTCAACTGATTAAGCGTCCAACTTCGGCTCATGATCTCACGGTTCGTGAGTTCAAGCCCCGCGTTGGGGTCTGTGCTGACAGCTCAGAGCCTGGAGCCTGCTTAGGATTCTGTGTCTCCCTCTCTCTCTGCCCCTCCCCTGCTTGCACTCTGTCTCTTGCTCTGTCTCAAAAATAAATATACATTAAAAAATAATTAATAAATAAATAAATAAATAAATAAATAAAGGAGCTCACTAAGAGTGTTTTGGAGAGACAAGAAAGTACACAAACATCTTCACTACAGTAAGAAAAAGGCAGTAATAGTCACGTACTGAATATTACAGGGACAAGAGAGAGAAAGGGAGCTCAGGGAAGACTTCACAGGTGAGGTAGCATTTTATCAAGTTATAAAGAATGAACATATAGGCATTTGCCTAGGCAGCATTCCAAAAAAGTGAAGCAGCTATTGATAAGCCCTCAGAGAAAACCAACAGAAAAACCATAGTTTGACGTACTTTGACAAAGAAATACTGGGAACTCTGGTCATTTCAAGGTAGAATAGGCCTTTGAGTAGAAAGAATACATGTAATTTTTCTTCAGTGTCTACACTTTTCTGTATTTTACAAATTTTCTGCAATAAACATAACTTGAACGATCAGACAGGGAAAGCAGAAGGGAAGAAATGAAATAATTGTCAAAAGTCAATCTAAAATGACAAAATAATGCTACCTTCAGGATAGCATTCTTACTGCCTGAGACAGGACACAAGGGAGCCTGTTGGGGTATTAGGGAACTTAGAATCCATGGATTCCACTAAATATAAATCATACCTCCATTTTAAGCAATGTAAGTGGACTTCAAGGAAAAAAAAAAAAAAGAAAAAAAAGTAGCGTTAGAGAGAGTGATGCTGAGTGATGCTTTTAGTCTCCACAAAGCACAGGGGCTACATCAGCTTCAGGCTTGGAAGCTGCTCCCAGATGAATAAGATTTCCATCTCCAGCTGCTCAGCAAGGGAGGCAGACAGATTAAGAAACCTGCAGGACCTTCTTCCTCTCCCCTCCTGGGTGAGTTGCAGCTACAGCAGTGCAGACCATTTATAGAACAAAAGCCAGCACTTTGCTCCCCTGCCCAATTCCATCTCAAGGTCAGAGCCCTACCCCACCACTCCCAGAGGAAAAATGGATCATGATGAAATGAAAATCAGAAGAAAAGAAAATCATTTTATCTCTGAAAAGCTGGGCAGTTGAGAATGCCTAACAATACAATGGTCTGAAAACCTCAATCAATGCAGAGAAGGGAGTTGCTGAAAACGAACATCTCTTTATGCTCTGTGCTATTTGGAGAAACGAGCTAGAAAAGAGGCAAAAAGCAGCACATCATTCATTCTGCTGTTCTAAGAATCATGCCAATGACTATTAAAACTCAATCCAAGTCAATGAATATTTATTCAGTGCTTACTATGTGTCAGGTACTGGGAAAGGTCTTAGGGTTACACTGCTAATGGAGATCGAAAGTCCTTGCCTTATAGATCTTAGAGTCTAAGAAAGAAGACCAATAAGAGACAAGTAATTACGAGGGTAAGGAATGAGTGCCATGAAAGAGAAGTTATATAATCTTTACTTCTCCCAAATATTTAACATAAAGACTTAATTTAATGAGGTTCTCTGAAGAAGCTAAGAAAAAAGCAGGGGTTAGTTAAGTAAAGGGGAAAGAGTATTCTAAGCTTTAGAGAGCAAGCATATGCACAGGTCCTGAGGTGGAAAGGGATAAAATCAAAGCCTCTGTTAATTGGAAGGAGAGGAAGACGGAACGGGAAATATGAGTTAAGGCAACAGAAGCAAGCCCAGGCCATAAAGCACCTCACAAGCCATGTGAGGAACTTTCATTTTGATCCTAAAGGAATGGGAAGCCATAGAAGGATTTGAAGCATGGTAGTAACATGATAATATTTCCATTCTAGAAAGATCACACTGAAAGCTGCATGTAGAACCAATTACAAAGAATTGAGAATTTGAAAAAAACGTGGATTCAAATCCAGACCTTGCCTTTTATTAGATGTATGACCATAGGCAAGCTTCTATTATATTAATAAATAATAATAATAGTAGCAGCCAACTCTCGTTGGGAACAGTTATAAGCACTTTAAATATATTATCTCCCTTAATTTTCACTATAGCCTTTGTATGTAGGAACTTGTATTAACTCCATTTTACAGATGAGGAAACCAAGATACAGAGTTTAAGTAAACTGCCCAACGTCACACAATAAGAATGCTGCAGAACCAGAGCAAAACCCTAGCAGTCTGGCCACAGAGTTGATACTTTGATTCACTATGTGTTAGGTGCTTAGGTGCTTCTTGGAATCAAGCAACATTATACAAAAAAAGCCAGAATGGTTGGCTGATAGTAGGTGCTCAACAAATGCTACTGCGTTCCTGCCTTTACTCAAAAGAAGCCAGAGCTTTCCACAGCCAGGTTTTAAAAACAGCACCTTTTAAAAAGTCCTTCTAGGGGCGCCTGGGTGGCGCAGTCGGTTAAGCGTCCGACTTCAGCCAGGTCACGATCTCGCGGTCCAGGAGTTCGAGCCCCGCGTCGGGCTCTGGTCTGATGGCTCAGAGCCTGGAGCCTGTTTCCGATTCTGTGTCTCCCTCTCTCTCTGCCCCTCCCCCGTTCATGCTCTGTCTCTCTCTGTCCCAAAAATAAAATAAATAAACGCTGAAAAAAAAAAAATTAAAAAAAAAAAAAAGTCCTTCTAAAAATGTAAAACACTATTTCAGGGAATTAACCCACTATAGGTATGATAACATTCTGTAAATGACACTTAATGCCTCTTTGCCACCACAACCTCTGAGAAGCTACCCCTAATCTCTGCCAGCTAAAAAAAATATATTCTCAGTAGCTGTTAATAACAATATTATTTACAGAGTGTTTGCAATGTTCTGGCCTCTCTGCTAAGTGCTATCATACACTTTCTTATTTAATTTTCAGAACTTAAAGGAATAAGAAAATTATCATCCCAGTTAGATAGATGAGGAAACTGAGGTTCAGAATTTCCGAAGGTCATATTGCCAACAACTGGTAGAACTAGAATTTGAACACAAGCCGTTTGATTCCAGAGCCTGTACTCTTAACCAATTGTTACTCAAAGTATGGTCCATAGGCAAGTTAAGTTGCTGGTGAACAAACTGCTTGTTATCAGTCCGTTACAAGATAAGAAGCATGCAACAGTCATTAAACACACCAACATTTAATTCAGCCAACATTTTTTTTTTCAATAGTGAGACTTTCTTGATGAAGGAAGCAAAGCACTAATGTACATTTTGGCATTAGCTTCTGATATCTTTGCAGAGTGGCACTTTCAGGAAGCATTGTTCTAAATTATTATGCTGTTCAGCCTCCTTGAACTGACATTGCATTTCATCCTTCACTTACCACCTTCCACATTACGTTGTACACGCGCGCACACACACACACACGCGTGCACACACACACTCCCTAAAATCAGGGACATTCTCCTTGGTATCCTCCAGTCAGGATGTCTAGTACAATATCAACCATACAGCAGGAATAGACTCGATCAGTATTTTAATTCATTAATTAAAGACACTTTCATTAAACTTCAGGAAATGTATACCATATACACCACACACTTGCATTGTTCAGTCACGTTCAAGAACCTGTCATTCTTTCAACAACAGCTTAATGTCCCCCATGTGGCAGGACCTGTGCTAGATGCTAAAGAAATAAAAAAGAACACAGTTCCCACTAGTCAGTAGGGAGGGCAGCTGACACATGAATAGATTATTACGGCCCAAAGCACTAAGTGACATGATAGAAGTATGCATCAAGTGCTGAAAGAGCAACCAACTCTCTGGGGCATCAGGAAAAGATAAAGCACATCTTCAGGCCTAAAACAATTGAAGTACTATTAGCTGTGAGAGCTAAAGTCATAGGTTATTATCCAATCTTTTCAAGTGCATGTTTAGCACAGTTATATTCCACGTTACCAAGGTTTAAAAGTTCAAATTTAGCTTAAGAATTTAAATTAGACCCTATACGATTAAAAATACTGGGAGTCAGGCAGAAATGAGTTAAATCTAGGCCACTTACTGGTTTTGTGACTTTTGGGCCTGCTGGGCCTTGGTTTCCTCATTTGTAAAATGGGAATATACTGCTATCTAATGAGTAAGAAAGTATAATTTTTACCATATCCACACACCGGGCCACGTATTACTTGCCACAATGGCCAACCACCAAAATGATTATTCTTTAAATAATATGGCAATAAATGGCAAACCACCAAAATGATTCTTCTTTAAATCAGTTCACTTAAAAAGTTATTTAAAAAATAAACTTGAGGGGCGCCTGGGTGGCGCAGTCGGTTAAGCGTCCGACTTCAGCCAGGTCACGATCTCGCGGTCCGTGAGTTCGAGCCCCGCGTCGGGCTCTGGGCTGATGGCTCGGAGCCTGGAGCCTGTTTCTGATTCTGTGTCTCCCTCTCTCTCTGCCCCTCCCCCGTTCATGCTCTGTCTCTCTCTGTCCCAAAAATAAATAAACGTTGAAAAAAAAATTTAAAAAAATAAAAAAATAAAAAAAAAAATAAACTTGAGGGGCACCTGGGTGGCTCAGTTGGTTAAGCATCCAACTCTTGATTTCCGCTCCGGTCATGATCTCACAGTCATAAGATTAAGCCCTGTGTTTAGCTCCACAGTGAGCGTGGAGCCTGCTTGGGATTCTCTCTCTCCCTCTCCCTCGGCCCCTCCCCTGCTCACATTTTTTCTCTCTTTCAATAAATAAATAAACTTAAAAAAAAATAAAAGAGAGACTTGAGATGTAGAGCAACTGGAATTCAAGTTGCTGATGTGTAAGAAAATGGTAAAGCCACTTTGGAAAACAGTTTGGCAGTTTCTTATAAATTTAAACATCCACTGCCCTTACCATTCGACCCAGCAATCAAATTCCTAGAGAAATGAAAACATGTTCTCACAAAAAGCTGTACATGTTTATAGTGGCTTTATTTATAACTGCCCAAAACAGGAAACAATACAAATGTCCTTTGACTGTTGAATGGATAAACAAACAAGCATCCACTCAATGAAATGCTAATCGGCAGCAAAAAGGAACAAACTACCTGATACAGGCAACAGCATAGATCAATCTCAAATACATTATCCTAAGTGAAAGAAGCAGACTCAAAAGGAAAAATACTGTATAATCCCACTTATATGACATTCTGGAAAAGGCAAAAACTATAGAGGCACCTGGGTGGCTCAGACGGTTAAGCCTCCAACATCAGCTCTGGTCATGATCTTGCAGTTCATGGGTTAAAGTCCTATGTTGGGCT